TCTATTTAATGATTTTTAAAAATTAATTTTAGATAAACAGGGTTGAAAGCGTTGCAATTACTTTAATGAACAAGGAAATTGAATTATGTATATAAAATGTCTCCTCTGTTTGAAATGCTACACGTATATGTAACGTGCAGGGTTGTCGGGTGGAGTTCAAGAAAAAAAAAAAGAAGAAATTGGGAGTATAACAATCGATTGTAAGTAAAATTAACAATACTTATTAAATATTGTAGCTAAATGCCGATGAAATTGTAAAGTAAATATTTTACACGTTATTATTCTTCATATACACAGTATACATTATTATAATTAAAGAACCAAACAATTTCACACTCTCGATTGATCACAATAAGCATTTCCTCGCTTAAACAATTGTTAATATTGAAATTTGAGTGCTTTATTGGTATATGTATATTTTGGTCCTGTATATGTTCATAATATGTAAATGGATTGTAGATTGCAAAGAAAGGGTAACAGTCACCTGCAACCAAAAAATATATAGATCTATTGTGCCCCCGAACTAGGAGTGGGACAAAGTCATATAATACCCTCTAGAGAACCACCTTCTCGAGAACCACTATCTCGACACCCACCCTTCTGATGAATTTGAGCAACTTTGAAAGACGGCAGATAATATAAATAAATATTCCATCCAATTTTTCATGAAACGAATAATTTTATATACACAAATCATATGCAGTAGATATAAGCTATTAAAAGAAGATTTATTAAAATTGCACAGTACACGAATGTAACGAACCTAATTATTAGTATGAATGTAGATATACACAATGTTTTCGTAAAAAGACAAGATACTAAAAAAACAATTATCATATTTTATAAATATAAATGTTATTTATTTTGTAATTTTTTTTTTTAATTTTATTATGTGTCATACGTAGCTATTCGTATATGAGTATAATTTTTCGAAAAATTTTGATAATTCGGAATATTCTTTGTTTTTAAAAAAAATACATTTTTAATTTAAAGCAATAATAAACCGTATTGTGCTAAGCTAATATATTGAATATCTATATTGAACTCCCAATGCTTTTCAAAAACAAAGCATGACTTCAATAACTAATTCTTCTGTTCATAAATTTGTATGTCCATAAAATTTGAAAATTTAATAATATATTTCGAGAATTATGACAATGATTTTGAGTTATGACAATTGACAAATTTTTGTGAGAAAAAGAATAAAATTAATTTTTTAAAATCACTGGTTTTTTTGTTATCCGAAAATTTTTCAGACCATTTGCGATTATCAGATCATTTATTCAGATTATTTGCCGAATTAAATCTGAAAATTTGTCAGGCCAATTGACTATACTATACTACTTAATATACAAAAAAAATTTGTCTAACTTATTAGACTTTTTCAACTTTCTTGTCTTATTAATGAATTTTATATTTCTGTAAAAATAAATATCGTCTTTTCATGTAATAATCCCCCCGCGTTTACCATTTGTGTTACTAAAAAACTGTAGTCGACTTTATGTGTATAATATATAAAACAATTTCATAGCTTTTATTAAAATTTTTCTTCATTAAGTTCAATATATAAAATAAGATTAGGTTCATTTAAATGTACATATAATTTATAAAAAAGGAAAAATATAAAAAAATACAAAACCTCTTAAGTATTTAAATACATTATAATGAAACAAAAGAAAATAAATATAATTATTTATTATATTATTAAAATTATTAAAATACAAAAGTAAAGAAAAGAAAAAAAATAACAATTATATTAAAAAAAAACTGATTAAAAACTTTTAAATACATTTTATTATAAAATATATTAAGAAAAAATTTAAAAATATTATGGCACAGTGCCAATTAGTGTAGGTGACGCTATACATTTATTTTTATTCAAAGAGAAAACACAAAAAAAAAACAAAATATAGACGAAAATAAAAATTATTTTTAAAGCAAAAAAAAATTTTATTTTTTGAGTTTATTCTTGCAATTTATATTTTTGATATATATTTTATATATATATATATATATATATATATATATAAAATATATATATATATAATATATATATATAAAATATATATATATATATATATATATATATATATAAAATATATTTTATAATATTAAAAATCTGTAATAATTATTGTGGTCGTCTTCGTGTTCCAAATTTAATAATTAATCTTTCATTGCGTTGCATACAATATTTTTACCAAAAAATTTTAAAAATAACAAAAATCATAAAATGAAAAATAAAATAATTTTAATGAAATTCAAATTTTCAACCCTGAATAATTTTTTGGTATCCCACCTTAATACATAAATATTTTGAACCAAAAAGAACTTTTCAAATTTTCGGACCCAACTACTTCTTGTGTATGAAAATATCAACTAAAAAAAAAAAATGTTCCAATTTATTTTGCCACACAATTTTTTTTTTTTCATCATTTCTTCATATTTGAAAAATTTCAAAAACAAATTGTGCATCAGTACAAAATATTCAGACTCAGTGTTACTTAAAAAAAAATTTCAAGGTTATGTTTTTTCTAATTTTTACTTGGATGCTGTCATTTAAAAATTTTTTGTTTTTAAGTGAAAAATAAAAAATAAAATGCAAAAAAGAAAAAAATTAAAAATTATTATTTTTGAATATTTTTTATTTTTTTTATAAAAATCCTCTGCCACAGATATTATTGCTCTGCTTCTGATATTTTGTATTTGGCGACGCAATTGCGATTTGAAAATTTCATAAAATATTATACAAATTCAAACATATATCGTGCATTCATTCATTTAAAATATTTATGGTATGTTTTATATAATATCAGTACACGTTCTTTTAAGAACTTATGAATAGATACAATTATATTCGATATAATATGTTGTATTAAAAGATGACAGTACAGATGAGACACTAATATAGAGAAAGAGAGAGAATATATAGGGTACTGTAAACTTATAGTTGACATATCAAATTTTGTTTTTTTTTTTTTTTGTTTCTGTTTAGTAATCATTTTTGTCTGGTAAAAGTGTGTCTTATTATTATTAAATAAATTTGCTAATAAAAAACAAAAAAAAAAAAGCAAATTACTATAAAAATTTGAAGTTTAATAAAATATAAAAGAGGATCAAGTGTTGCCATTATCGGTCATATCTAATTTACAAGTACAAAACTTAAAATTAAACTAATAAATAGAATTAAAATTTGGATTTATATATAAATTTAATTGAAATATAATGGAATACAAGAAATTGATTATAAATTTAACGAGAAATATAATTTTATTATCAATTCTTATAACATTACTGTTATATATGGCGAGTGTTACCGATGACGAACAATGTGATGCAGTGCCGTCCAGACAAAAATGTTAAAATTCATTTTGTGTTATGCTATGAATTAATGGCATTTAATATAAATATATAGGTACTTTAAAATACTTATATATTGAAATTTTTGTAAAATTTTTTATGTAATAAATTATAAAGTTATTTTTTTCAAATATAAAAAATGTTTATATTTATAGCAGCTAATTTGAATTAAAAGCCCTATTTCAAAAATTTTTTAAAAAAATATTTTTTATTGAAATTAATTTAAAATTTCAGATATTTTTTTCTGCCATATTTATAGAAACTAAAAAAATTGAGATCATATCCGTCAGTAAGGGTTAAAATAACACATAAGGATAAAGACTTATTCATCACATTACAATATACTTATAATACAATGTCGTATGATGTAGATCATTTTGTTTCTATACGTCACCGTTTAACATTTTGAAGGGTAGAATTCATAAGTTATTTTTGTTCATACTTTTTGCCTTTTTGTTCCAACAATCACGGATTCCTCACTAATATTGTGAGTAGGCTCTAATAAATCCCATTCTGATCTTCCATGAATCTACCGGGTCCAGGTAAAAATGGTGATGGAGCTCTATTAATTAATTTTATGAGTTTTAAACGAAATACTAATTGCAATTTCAATCAGAAACAATTCCATTTGAAGTGTAATATTACTTCGAATTCGCAATCATTATGTTTTCTCAATTGATTTGTAATTATTCGAAATATGATATTAATTTTTAACAAAATATTTTGATTTTGGTTTTTTTTTTCTGTAATCTTGTCGAATTATGAAATATTATTAGAAATTTTTATTTTTATATATGTACACAGTTTTCAATTTCAACCTTGAAAAAATGCCAAAAAATGTTGGATAGAGAAAATTAAAAATTTTAATTTGTTTTATGTTTTTCTACATAATATTTACGATATAATGCTTTTAGTATGTTATATTTTTCTTATAATGTACACATGGAGGAGTGTTGCCATTTTTAAAAATGTCATACAGTATATATGTATATATTTCTAATAAATCTTTTTAGTATAAAATTTGGCACAATGAAATTATATTTTAACTTTTATTTTTATATTTTTTTTTTGTTGGTATAAACATAAAATATGATCGTTTGGTAATAAAATTGTAAAAGAGAAAACATTTTTATTATATTTTTAAAAATTTCTATTTAAAAAGACCATAAATAAAATATTAAATAGCTCGGAAATTACAAGCTGAAATAATTGCATGAAAAATAAAAAAAATGATGTATAAACATGTAGTATAATTCCCCTAGAAATATGCAATTTTTCAAATACTTCATTGAACAAATATTTATTATATAAACATTCAATTAGCGAATTTTTGTATATCATGAACTTAACCAAATTTGTATGTCAAGTCATGGAGTTAAGGAATTTTGAATGTTGATGACGTCGAGGATTAATTATTGACTATAATTTTAATCATCTCGTTATGAATTTTTACACAATCTTTGGCAAGGGATTATTATTATACGGCAAGGATTAATTGAATAAAATTTTAATTGGCAAGAGATTATTATCCATTAAGGCTAATTAGCATTCGTGTATTGACCCTAAAAAAATACTATTTTTTCTATTTCATATTTTACTCTTAACATTAAAGCTATATAAAATTATTTAATAAAATATCTTACCTGGCTAACTATGGCAGCTTGTTCTTCTTTAACATCTTGTAAATGATCACGTGTTGGCATTGGACTAAAACCAGATTGTTGTGAATCAGGACGTATTGGGGGCACATATCCACCAGATTCATTTAAATTTGGAAATTCAGTATATGGTAAAGTATTTACGGGTGCTGTTAAGGCGTGTTCATAATGACCGGGTCCAGGTAAAAATGGTGATGGAGCTCTATTAATTAATTTTATGAGCTTTAGTTTTATGAATAGTTTATAATATTTAAAAAAAGGGAGAGAGAGAAAAAAAAAGAGAGAGAAAATAATAAAATAAAAAAAATAAAAATAAAAATTGTGCCATTGTGTATTCTATTACAGTTAACACATATTATGTACAATATGTACAGATGAATATGCGTATGCACAATTCCAAGTCGATTTATGCTTTACTAATTAACTATTTCTTTACAACATGCCTTTTAATAAATAAAATATACACTCAGAAAAATTTTAATATTCATGCATTTTTATAAAATTTTATTTTAATTTAATAAAATGATTTTTATCTATGTATATAAAATGTAATACTTTAAAATGAGATGATAAAAATGAAATAAAAATTAAATAAAAAAAAATTGATATTTATATCTTTTTTTAAAATTTAAAATTTCGCGAATAATTTTAGTGCTGAAATTTTATTAGAAGCGCTTTTAATTTTAAATAAGCATTTTAATTGAAAACTGATCTATATAGTATCTATTATGTAACTCTATTCGAAAATGAAGCTATTCGAACAACAGTCTGTCGTTGATTTTATAAATTAACGTAATAAGATTTTGTATTCGAAAATTTGTTATTTTATTGTACTTTAGCTGTTCATGCTGTTTGCACTCTCTAATTCAAAATCTAACATATAAAGTTAAACGAAGTTCGAAAATTAAATTTTTTTCGGACTTGGAATTACGAAATATTCGAAATTAAACGATTATTTTTTCGAAATTTCAAAAAAAATTTTCTTTCGAAGAATTGGATATTTTCAAATTGTCGAAAGTTTCTTTAACATTTCGAAAAACTTTTAACATGGCCGAGGTTCATTTAAAGTAGTGCAAGTGAAATAGATATGAATTCGCCTTTAAATTTTCGAATGTTCGAAAAATTCGAAAATTCGATTTTCGAATAAGTTCAAATTCGAATCCAAGGCACATCTAAAGTAGTGCAAGTGAATTAGATATGAATTCGCTTTCAAATCTTCGAATGTTCAAAAAATTCGAAAATTTGATTTTCGAATACGTTCAAATTCGAATTCAAAATTCATAATAGATGCTACAGATCAGTTGAAAATATTTTATAATTTTCGATTTAATTACACAACATATTAACTTTCTCCTAGTATATGCATTGTTTATTTTTTTAATATACAGTTGATGATATTTTTACCTGTGAGGATTTTGATTTTTGGGATTTAAAAAATTATGATCTGGACTAGCTGGTGGTATCGTTGACGAACATCTGGATGAATCATTACTCATGGCTTGTGTATAAGCAATTTTGTTATCTCTAAAATAGCAAAAATTTTGTTGATTTTGTTTTTTTTTTTAATAAAAATGAATTGTAATCGATCGTAATATTATATGATAGAACTACAATACAATTATATTATACCAATTTATTGATTTACAAAAAATAGATTTGTAAATGAAATGATAGTTATTTATAAGATATAAGATGAATTTATAAATTAAATTACATAGTGCTATTAATAATTATTAATTATATTACATTTTACTAATTCTTCTATATAATAAAAATAGTATTATTATTATTCTACATAATGTATGTATATAACGTAAATAAAAGTAAGCTAAAAATAAAAGTAAATAAAGAAATTCATTTTATACACTTATATAACTAAGATGATTGAATTTTATTATTATATTTCATTAATATGAATTCTTTAATAATTGTTTAATAATTTACCTGTGTACTACTAATCTAATACTATTTCCAGCAGTTTTGAATAACATTTGGGCATCTTCATGACGTAAATCTCTCGCATCATATTCACCAATTTTTGATATAATATCACCACGTAAAACTTCACCAAATGCTGGACTACCACATTGAACCTGTATTAGGATAAACAATAAAATGAAATAAAAATTTAACAAATTATACTATGAAAGTATAACTTAATTTTATACGTTATTATTATGTCTAATTTTATTTATATAATCATTATTATATCAATAATTTTGAACAAAATATGGCTATTTCATGCATTTAATTCATATTCTAAGCTGATACTGCAATGCTCGAATTAATAAGTTTCTCAAATCTAGATGATATTAAAATTTCATTTCAATTAACTCAGTATTTTCATCACATAGACGCTACTTATTTACAATACAGTTGTATTCATGATTTTCTCTAAAATTTAATAAATTCATTGAAGGACATAGTAACTATATTTTACATGCTATTTTCAAAATTAAATGAAATTAATTTATATTAAGAGTGCAATATACTTGATTACGTTACACTCTAAATACGAATATTTATTATTAATATAGTAAAAATTTTTTCTGACGATTTATTTTACTTTAAATATAATTAACATCATTAAAGCAAAATTTTTATAATTAAAATTAATAATTATTTTGCCAATTTTTCAATGGTCTGCAAAAAAAAAAGCTCATCTGAATCAATGTTTTTTTAGCATAGGATTATAATCATGACAAATTAATTTTTAGAAATACTTAATTTCATTTCAAATTTAATTCAATAAATTTTAATAAAATAGTAATATAAGGTGGACCTGAACTGATTATAAGACTTTCGGGCAGTAATTTCGCGCAGTTTTTTTTTTTTTTAAATTGAAATTTTTATTATTAATAAAATGTCATTTTACTTGGTAAACGGTATACGTATGACATGAAAGTAAGGTATGTCGAAATTGTAGGGGATGATAAAATTTAAAAATTAATCGTTATACTTCCGAGTTACTCTCCCTATCGCCCTACTCGAACAAGAGTCACCCTCCGACCAATTTAAAATGATTTCCGAAATCTTGTTCCTCTTAATATTATTTTTAATTAATTTACTTTGTATGTGGACTTTATTTTTATTGCCAGTTTACATTTAGATATAATAGTATTATAAACAACAAATTAGTATACTAAACGCCATCAAAATTTAAAAGCAACATTTAGAATTTTCAAATTTTTTAAATTATTTGGAAAATTTTAAATTTCGTGCTGTTAAATTTTCTTTATAATTATTTTGCTGCTTTTAAATTATAACATTTATACCTATTTACATATTGTGCATATTTTATAATTAAAATAATTCAAATTACAAAATTAAAATTTTCTTGTCAATTTAATTTGTACTACGTATATGAAGTTGCATTGTTTTTAAAAAAAGATCTGTCGCAGAACTTATTTATATTACATTTGGTTCTTTCTTATTAATAAAATTTTATTTTTGTAAACAAATAATTAGAGTAGCTGTGTAACAAATTATTTCATTTATTAAGAGAAAATAGAAAGTTAAATTGTTATGCGATGAATTTTAAATTAAGAATTCTAGAAAAATACTTAAAAATTACAAAAAAATTAAAATTTTTGATAGGTTCAAGCGAATGGCATAATACTTGCGAACAATACGAGTACTTCCAAATTTTCTTAAATTTACTAGAATTGTGGGGTTATGGGGAAACGCTGCATCCCAAAATTGGAAGGAATTTTTGAAATAATTTGCAATTAATACAAAAAAAGAATTGAATAAAACAGAAGATATTTTACAGATTCTTTGTAATTTTCTATAAAATTTCACAGTAGTGACATTAAGTAACGCTAGTTGGGACTTTAAAATTAAAAAGTAAAAATTTTATTGTACTTTTTTTTATTATTTTGTAACTTGCAGGCTGATAAATGATATAAACTGCTTATAGGCTGATACAGATCAACAATATTTTAAGGTGTGTTGCACCTTAACGCGCTGAAAATTTTGAAATTGTTATAGGTTATCATTTTCAATCCAATTATAATCAAATTAATATTATTTTTATTTTAATTTGATTATGTTAGTATATTTACCATAGCATATTTTGTAGAATTGTAAATAATTTTTTTTTTAAAATTATTGATGGAAGCCTCATTAAAATAACATGTTTTTTTTGTTAATATCACATTTTGGATGAATAAAACAGGGACGAGGTGAAATTAATATAAAAACACCTATAATAAATATAGTTTGTTTCCATTAGGGAATTAAAAATAAACAAATTGATCAGAAATTTAAATGCATGTGTTTTTATTATATCCACACATATTAGTATACATATATATGTATACATATAAATCTAAATGATTTCAATAAATTTTAATGAAATAAATTAGATTTTTACAGATTGAATTGCATACAATTTGGAAGGTATTGTTCTCTATGTAAAAAATATCCCAATATGGTTAAGTCCATGTTGGGAGATCTTAAAACTTAATTCTACTTTTGTTAGCGTCTATTCTTAAGTACAAAATTTGAAAACTGTTGTAATGAGCTCTATTTTTAAAAACAGTTGGCAGCACTGTATAAATGACAATTTATTTTTGAAACTGAATAATGCCTTCAAAATTTATTTAAAATAATTAAAATTTTAATTAACCTTAATTCCTCATCCATCTTCACTTTATTAACTTCAATTGTATTTTTAGTTCCTAATTATTGGCAGTATTAATTTTCATGCTGAAAATATGAGAGTAGATCTTTCAAATTTCTTTACGTGAAAATTATCTGCTTTTTGCAGTGTTGTCACAAAAACACATTACATTTTCAGATCTAAGTAAGATTTGCTAACATGAACTTAACCTAATTCAACGGAAATACAAACCGTATAAGAAAAATGCAAGAAAAAAATTTTTTCAATATCAAATTCTGATAGTCTGATTATTATTAAGTAACTCTTCCCCCATGCTAATATAACAAAATTTCTTAGAATTTGTATGTTTAATTCAAAGTATATACAATATCGGTCGATCATATGTTGTTCCACATTAAATTTTTTAATAGAATTTGTTAAAAAAATAATTGATTTAAAGATGTTTTTTTTTTTTTGGAACAGGTATGATGTTTTCACTCAAACAAGTGTTTTTTTTAATGTATTTATTGTGGATAGTTGTATACACATCATTGCATATCTGAGTAAAACCAAATGTCTTTGATATACTCAATTAAAATATAGGTTATAAAAATTTAATTAATGAATATTTTGATGAAAAAACAGAAACTAAATAATTTATTTTATTTTAAACTTAATTTATGTCAAAAAAATTGAATTACATAGTGCAGAAAGATGCAATGATGAATTCAGATTTGTATAATAAAAAAAAATTATATGAGTATTTTAATCAAATATTTAAATAGTAATTTGATTTTTAAGTGGCTACATAAGATCTGTAAGGGGACAAACGATAAAGCTTTAATAGAAATTCAATTAATTTAATAAACTCGTAATTTAATCTTGATATACGCATAGTATACACAACTTGATTTTTCTGAAGTGCTTTTCTAATTTATTTAATTAATAATATTAAAGCAAATATTTTTCGTTCAAAAAATTGTCAGTATTTTTTATGTAAATGCATTTTTTTTTCAATGAAAATTTCCTTAGCGTATTAAGGATATTAAAATATTTTTGAAATGCTTTTGATTTTATAAGAATTAAAGTGAATCCTGCCCGGTTCATTGATAAAACGAGAAATTTACAGAATTACCTGTTACCAAATGCACAAGTGAAGTTCAGTATATGAGTCTCTTCTGACTCAATCCAATACATTAACAAATAATAGTGAAGAAAGAATTAGAAGTTAGTGAAAAAAAGATTTTGCAAATTTTTTGATTAATTGGGGAGCAAGCAACTCATTGTCTATGTGGTTAAATCTATAAAACTAATTTGTTACCAGTTATTAATTTTGTAAATTGTAGTTAAATATAAAATGTCTATTAGAAAGACTAACAATCATTGTGGCTACTTTTAATGGAAGGAAATGAAATGATCTGCCTTGTCATTACTCAAATAACAAATTAAGTACAAAGTATGTAAATAAATTAATTGATATTTAAATAAATTCTAAAGAAAAAAATCTTAAAATTCATTGAATAAATTGAAAAATTAAAAAGAATTTATACAAAATCACACAAAATTAAATATTTAATCACTTTCAATCTGTATGAAACAACACTATGATTACAAAAAATATAAAAAGAATGAGTCATTCCCATATAGTTTTTTAATAGTTTCCATAACAAATGTTGTTCCAAGTATAATTATTCTAATGTAAATATGTGTGTGTATATATTCTAATTTAATTGAATCTTTTGTTTACTTAAATATTTTTTTTTATATTAGAAATATCAAGGTCCATAATATTAAAGTGTGATTGCTCCTTACGAGAATGACTAATTTTATTTAATTATTATACAAAAAATATATATATATATATATATATATATATATATATAAAATTTTAAATGGTTTCATATAGTTTAAATATAAAATTTTCATGAAAACAAAGAAATATTAGAGTATACCCGTATAATAAGTATGTCCAAATTCCTAAAGTTCTAATAATATGTAGCAGTGTAATATTTTATGGAAAATTATTTAAATTTTTTTCTACAATTAATTATTTCCGTTTATTTTATTTTAAAAATTATTTTCATTTAAAGAAAAACGTAAATACATAGAGATTTTCTTTCATTTCATGTTTAATTACAAAAAGAAAACGATCATTTACATTGTTCTAATTTAAATTTTAGTGAAATATACAGTGGCTGGAATAAGTAGTCAACACACAAATTCTGACTCTGATTGTATTTGAATTCAAATTTTCTAAATGAACGGAAGAAATGAATGTGTCTTTTATTTCTATTCTGAAGAACAAATTGACGATAACTTCTCCCTCTTCTGCCTCTCACATCTCTCTTAATAGAACGTCTCCTTGAAAACGATTGAACAAATTGCCGAAAATTTCTTTATACCTCTGTTAATAGAATATCTTCTTGAAAACGATAGATTACTGTTTAGAGTCTAGTTGAAATTTTTTTTGAATTTGTTTTTACCTTGACA